TTTTTGTTTGGGAATAAATAAGTTTTACGGTATATTAGGGTGATTCACTTGTATGTACTTATTACTTTATATAAACACCTTGAAGGATCCATTGTCAGAACAGATGATGAAGAATGTAATGTCGTGTCATGTAATGAAATTGGTTCTAAAACGTAAAATAATAAGAATATATAAGTGGGCCGCGTTAGTTACCCAGAAAAACAATATATTCAATTTATAGCGTATACAAGAAAACATTAAAACCAGCATATCTATGACTAATAAGTATGAGTGTCTTGTATTGTTATAAAACATTATATTTTTTTGCATTAAATTTGTGGAGTATTTAACTAGAATGTTATCATGGGAAATTTATCGAAACGAAAAAAATAAGAGAGAAAAAGAAAATTAAAATGTAATAAAGAAGGAGAGATAAAAGAAAATCAGATCCTGCCAATTTTATAGAACGAGAGAAGTGAAAGAAAAGAAGAGCTGAAAAAAGGGATAAGATGTTAAAGATATAACACCTCGAGAAAAGAGGGCCCAAAAAGCAATCTGGAGGAAATAGTGGAAGAAAAAGAAAGATATTATATATATTGACGACTGGTGGTTTGTGTAACGGACTGCTATTCCAAAGGTCGCGGGTTCGATTCCCGCTCAAGTCAAACATTTGTGTGCATGAACATTTGATGTTTGATTTGGTCTAGGTGTTTCTATGTATAATATGTATGAATTTACAAAAAAAAAAGTATATATGTATTTATATCAGTTGTCTAGTACCCATAGTACAAGCTCTGCTTAGTTTGGGACTAGATGGCGTTGTGTGTATGTGGTAGAATATATTATACACGGTGATTTTGAAAGCGTTTTGGAAAAGAAAATTTTGAGTTATTTATCAGTAACAGAAGCTATATATAACGTTAATTTAATAAAATATATATATTTTTTTATCATCAAAGTCGATATTCACATCGATTACAGAGAAAAGAAGAAACCAGTAGTAGGGCTTTTCAATCGCAAGTAGGTAAATACTACGAATAGAAATACTATGCGTTTTAATATCGAGTCACATAAAGGTCGCGCGCTCACGCGCAAGGTCAAGGACGTTTAAATTATTATTCGCCGGAGTGTAGTGCGTGCATACCTGGACAATGAGTTAAGTGATCGGTTTATAGGTCGAGGAGGGCCAGCAGTTGCTTCGATACAGAGAAGTGTAAATAGTGTAAATAGGTATGTAAGTTAATTATTCTGTAGAAAGCTCCGATTTTTTAAATACGCTTGAAATATTTATACCTACAGTCCATTGATAAATTGATTTGTTAATAATCGAAAAGAAGTTTAAATAAAATAGGTATTTCCGACGATCCTAAGCCCGTGTAAAGTATGAAGGACAAATTGGAGTCTATCTACGTAAGTACTCGCTAGCTCGCGCCTATAGGTATACTTTTATCAGCTGCTGTTAGCGTCAGCGGTGCGCAGCGGCCGCCGAACCCCCCGACGTGTTTCATTCATATAAGATAATGAATGAATGATCAGTCCACTACTACTTTCCAAGTCGATCGAGTAAAAATTAATATTAAAACTGAAATTTTTTTTAAGACAACATTACAATTGATTTAATCATTTTTATTGGTACTATAGATGATTCCAAATTAAAATGTTTCGTTTCCAAAACGCTTTCAAAATCACCGTGTATTATTATTATTATATTAGGCTCTGCTACGCCAACATCTTAGGATTCACGTCAAAAGATGACCTCACGTTTACTTTGATGTGGTGGATTACTAAAAAACAACAAAGACCATTAAGAAATTACAGATAAAAATCAACGCTGTAAGAGTATCTAATACTGGAAATGCCATAAACATCCACGTCCCGCGCTAAAGAGCAACTGTTGCAAAATATAGCTTCAATTAAAAGTTTAAACCGGAGTTTAGCTGTAACCAAATAAAAAAATCTGATTTTGATGGCTAAAGCCTTAAACTTAAATATTACTTAAATATACTTGATCAAAATTCTCATAATGTGATTTTTTATTAATTTTAACGATATTGTCTCAATTATGTTCCTATAAAAAAAAAATTAAGATTGCCGTTGTTGTTGTGATTGTTGTTCCGTGTGGTCACGGATTAAGAATACGGAGTGTCACCACCACGTTCATCCCGTAGGTGTCGTTAGAAGCCTGTTGATGTGATGTGATGTTGTTGATATTTTGTTTTTGTATTAGTTTGTTTTTGTTTTTGAAATTACACGACTTTACTCCGTGGGCATACAATGATTTTTCTAGTACTAGTAGGCTGTTTTAAGCTTCGGTATTTACCTAGAAATAATGCTATTGGTCAAGCTAAAACATGCGTAGCTGATTTCCGAAATTATCTGTTTTGATTTGAGAAATAGTTTTGAGATTGACCCATTTCTAAATAAATATTTCCCAATAATGATGGTTGGAAAAGCAAACTTTTTACTTCGCACACGGTATTATCCAACAAGTTCTATCCATGAATAACAAAGCTGTATTATTTCCTCTCATGTCGACATCAATAGCACAACGATGCGTTATAAGAGCCACCTACCTATAAGCACAATACCATACAGATATAAGCATAGGGTGAACAAGGGCCCCAATCTTGCAATATAGGCAACGACGGAGATGGATGTCCGATAGTTGGCTCTGTCTCTTTCTAGTCGATCTCTGTGGTTGACTGGGGAAATTTCTAATCTGCCATCTTCACGATAACCAATGGCAGCTTAGCTAAACAGAGACAGAAGGAACTATCTGGCATCCATCTCTCTCGTTGCCTGTATCGCTTCCATTTACAGGCAGCTGTACCCTGTGTTCTCTCTATGCTTATATCTCTATGCACTATACCAACGGTGTCACTCACTAGAACTGACTCAACTTTTTTGTTTTTTTTTTAAAGAAAGGCAACTACCGCACTAGGAATATATCCTGTGTCGCGGGGGACTTTACAAACATACATGCAACAGACACAAAGAACACCCAGACTCAGAACAACCATTTGCGGATCACACAAAGCGTTGTCCCCTGTGGGGTTCGAACTCACAACACTCAGCGCAGTAGGGGGCGGTGAGGTGACCGCTTTAACCACTACACCATCCGTGCAGTCTTACTCTGGGTTGTAACAGTTATTTTTTTTGTGCATTTGTGATACGTACGATATTGATAAAAGCGGCACCTGTGTGGCCGCATCGCTTTGTTGTTGATTTATCTAAAGTAGTTTGTAGCTACGGTATTGATCTCCTTTGTTCACTTTCGGACCACTAGATGGCGTTGGTTTGAGACATAATAGATTGATAAAAAGACTTCCTTTTTTTAATCTGTTTTGTTATTCTGTCATGTCAAATTGTATAGGTGTTGAGAGTGTTCAGCTATGGTGGAAAGCAAGATACGTTTGATTTTGTTAGCGTTGTTTTCTTTCTCAATTTAAATGTCAAAGTGAAATGATGAAGAGGGGTTAATTTCTGGAAGATTCCTGAACCGAGGATATATAGGTCCGGCTTTCTGCCACGGGAGACACTCTGCTATCTCGTGTCTTCCAACCTTAAATAGTGTTTTGATTGTCGTGTAATTTGAATTTCGTAATATGTAGTCTGTTATAATCTACCCACTAATGTGGTAAGTATTCTCTCAATTCTTCTTAAACCTATTTGTTTCTGGAACCTGTTTAATTTATATGAGTGCTAATCCATTCGTAGGGTCCCAGATTTCGGGCTCAAGACGGTCAGTCTTAGACGGCGTGCTTGCTCTTTTGTGGCCTTCTGGTACAGACTCAAGTTTCTCGGTACCCTCTGGTAAAGCTGGTGATTGCGCGGCTCTCGACGCAAGCGGACAGCCGTACCCAAGAGTTACGTACTTAAACTTATAATTGTAATTTGTTAAACTTTTATCCATATCCAATATAAATAGCCGACTCGGGCGGAAGAGGAAGTAACCTCCTGGAGGGACGACGAGGTGGCACCGAGCACCTTCAGCTCGGCTCTAACGCGCACCGCTGCGGGTTTTTTTTTTTTTTTTCTTTTTCTTGTACCTACACTAATTTATTTAATTTTTCATTGTAAATTTGAACTACTTTTTTTTCTGAAATATACATGTATGTATAACTGAGGTGTAAGTTGTTTTCCTCTAAAGAGTCCCATAGGTTTCCCACACGCACACACTTCTATTCTCATACAAGGCGCCCTGAGGTAATCTCTTGAATCTCTCCACTGGGTCAGCCGGTGAGTAGTCCGCCTGAGAAGAAAAGCGGCTACAGGGTGCGCTTCCTAAGCCTCAGCAACCGATTTTATTTAACTTTAACTGCGTTTTCGTCATATTTTAGGCTATGACTGAATAGTTCAAGGATACCTTTATTCAAGAAACCCAGCAAAAAGACTGTACCTACGAGTGATGCACTTTTTGTTTTGTAAAGTAATTATGACCGTTCCAAGTGTCATAATCCTAAATTGTAAATTTTTGATCATTGTAAATTTTTAATCATACATCATTTTTTATTACTTCTGCAATAAGTTTAAATACAAGAGCTTATTACACAATGAGCTAGACGGTTTTATCAACCAAACTTACGGGTCAAACATAATACAAAGTATTTAACAAAATTGGGGAAAAATTAATAATTAAAAAATATTAAATGTATATACAAATATATATTCATAAGCGCCTTTGCAATACTGAAATAGTGAGTGACAACAGGCCAGTGTCGCAATATTATACCTTGAGTAGGGGCTTGCACTTTCGCGGACACGACTCAGACTGCGTTTGACCATAGCGCTGTGCAATATAGTACAAAAAATAAGAACCATTTTGTTAAGACGAACTTAAATTAATAATAAATAAATTAATATAATAAAATAAAATAAAACATATAGTTATCAATTTCAAAACTTCAAACAAACTGAATAAAATAATCATTGCAATCATAAAGGAATTCCTTTCAGAAAGTTGAAATTTATTCAAATTTATGGTTTAGTTCATGTATTAACCTACATAAACGGTTAAGAAAATGCGTCCGCTCAATTTGCTAATTAGTTTAAGTGCCATAGTGTTGTTTTGTGCACAAGTGACGAAGGCTGAGCGAGAGATGGTCAAGATCGGTATGTACCTTTTCATCACCTTTAAATACAGATAAATATGTGTGAATTTGATATGAGTCATCCTTATAATGCCATGCCGAATCTTTTGGGTTCAATTCCCACCCGGGAGAAAAAATTGTGTAATTCTGAAATATCAAACCTAGGACTTTATTTATCTGCGCGACAGGACTGTGAAGTTTATCGGTCGGAACGGGGTGGAAAATCGGAGAGAGGTGTATTGCGGGGTTCCCCAGGGCTCTGTTTTGGGCCCTTTGTTATGGAACCTCGCATATGATGTGGTCCTTCGCACCAGTCTGCCCTCTGGCCTCAGTGTCGTCTGCTATGCTGACGACACGTTAATACTGGCTAGAGGGTCACACTTCGATGAGGTGCTTCGGCTCGCCGAGCAGGGGGTGGCTTGTGTCGTGGGAAAGATTCATGAGCTGGGTCTGAGAGTGGTGCCTCAGAAAACTGAGGCGATATGGTTCCATGGCCTGCGTAAGCGCCAGGAACCACCCAGCTCATGCCTCCGGGTGGGTGACGCTGAAGTCCAGGTGGGCCGGTACATGAAGTACTTAGGCCTCATCCTGGACAGTCGATGGCGCTTCGAAGAGCATTTCGAGCGATTAGTCCCCCGAGTGCGCGGGGTAGCCGGTGCGCTGCATCGCCTGCTGCCCAATCTCGGGGGACCACGGGAAGAAGTTCGCCGTCTCTACATGGGCGTCGTGCGATCCATGGTCCTCTATGGGGCGCCCGTCTGGGCTAAAGACTTGGCGGGTGCCTCCCGCTGCGGGGCTCTACTTAGAAGCCTGCAGCGGTTGATGGCCATACGGATCGTACGGGGCTATCGTACGATCTCGTTTGAGGCGGCAACGGTCCTGGCGCGATATCCACCCTTCGACATTCTGGCAGACATGGACGCGATGGTCTATGACCAAGTTCGCTCTGTCGGTCGGAATGGTGAAGGGGCCGCGCCAGATCATGATCCCGGAATGCTAAGGCGGAACGCACATACGCAGGCTCTGCGGACCTGGCAGGCACGGCTCGAAATCCAGGGCTGTGCTAGCCAACGCGCAGTCGGAGCCGTTCTGCCGAGCTTCGAAGCGTGGGTAGGGAGGAACGACTGTGTCACCTACCGATTGACTCAGGTGCTCACCGGGCACGGTTGCTTCGGTGAGTATCTGAATCAAATTGGACGGGAGGTCACGGCAGAATGCCACCATTGCGGGTCCGACCGGGACTCCGCCCAGCACACGCTGGAGGACTGCCCTGCGTGGGAGTCCGAACGTCAAGTCTTGGTCGGACAGATCGGACGAAACCTGTCACCGCCAGCATTGATCGCGGCAATGCTGGCTAGTGGCGAGGGATGGGCAGCCGCGGTCTCTTTCTGCGAGGACGTTATGCTCCAGAAGGAGGCCGCAGAGCGGGATCGGAAGAGGGCCGATCCCGCTCGAAGGAGGCGACGAAGGGGACGCGGCAGAGGTCGTTGGCTTCCCAATCGCCGCCTAAGGGTCGCTGCGGCCACATCTTGGGGCTATGTGGCCGCTGCAAACGACCCGAGACAGACGACACTCCGGTGCGGCCGGGGAGTTTTGTCCATGGCGGGGCGCTGTTGCGCCTCCTACTGTATAGAGTAGTGAAAGGCGCGGCAGCCTCCCGCCCTAGGGTGACTACAGTCACCCCGGGATGTGCCTCAGACATGGGGTACGGCAGGGAGGACTCCAGAAGCCGCCGATGCGTTCCTGGAGGTCCTCCTGACTGCCGAGGTAGGCCGCCGCGGGGTTTAGTGGGTAGACCGGTTCTCCGATAGTCCCACACACGCCCTGCGTTTCCCCAACGGAGGGTATGGTGCGAAAAGCATTCCCCGCGTTAAAAAAAAAAAAAAAAAAAGGACTTTATGATAACATGTAAACAATAACATCAAACATAAGCCACGGAAATAACGAGGCAGACTTTAAGAAAACAAGCCATTATGTTCCCTCCTTCTTTTCAATGCTCTTTATGGTGACCTTGTCATTCAACACAGACCCCTTAAAATAGGCAAACCCCCTCATGTAAGTAGGTTGCTTAATCAATATTCAATGGTAATTCTGCCAAGGCCGACCTGAAAGTGACAACAGTTGGTCAATTTTAACAGATGCTTTGCCTCTGTTCTGTCGAAATGGCAGAAATCTATATATGTTTTGTTATTACAAACCATTTTAATATTATCGGCCAAGGTTAAATAAAAGTAATTAGCGTTTGTATTATCGTCTTATACATATATGGATTGTTTATATTGCAAGTGAATTTGTATTGTACTATTATAATATGTATTTAAGGTTACCGACAAAGATTTTCTGCCGTATCACGTCACGTAGTCACCAGCGCACACTTAGGGTATTCTCTGGATTTTCCAGTATGTCTCAAAGTTTTGCATTCTTTGTGGTACATATCGTATGTTCCAATGCGTTATTGTGTATTGCCAGTGTATTATTCTGTATTTTGACATAAAAATCCTTTTTTTTTCGAGTGTACTAGTAACAAGTCACAATAGCACATTTTTCAAGTGTACACTTGCAGAAACCTTAGGCCGCGACGCGTCAGACGTTTTTTCGACCAAATATAAGATGTTTTATTCCCCCCGAGAACAGTACGAAATCTTTTTGGCAACAAACTTTAACTTAACTTTTAATTGATGATTTACAGAATAATCTCATTCGCGGCATATGGTTTAAGTATGATAGTTGCCCTGTGCATTACAGGAGAAGTGTAAAAGAATGGCTGGATGAATTATCGTAATAGGTGGATTGGAAGAGGTCGTTGGGTAGCAAAACGCATTGGCAGTATCCGTAAAAAATCAAGGTATGAACATATTCCTCGTTCGTATAGGTCATCATCTTTAACAGTATTAGAAGCACAAATCAAAGTCCACTCAGCAATAGTCACGAATAGAAAATGAAACAGTTCACAAAATACAAGCTAATTTTTCAACTATATACTACGTTGTACGCAAATTCTTAACACCCCCGGTCTTTCATCTAAGTTTGTTTATGAATTTTGATACTATCCTAGACTATTATACCTGGTTAGATAGCTGAGAATATGTACATGTTTTTAATAAATCTGCAGTTTAACTGTCATAGATTTTTTATGTTACTTGTCAAAGATTATTTTTTTCTAATTGATTTATTTTTCCTATTATTAACCATCTACTTTGGCCCAGTTTGTTTGTGACTGCCACTGTGACTTATTATTATTATTTATTACGCTAGGGCCAGATTCGCGAAAGGTCTAAATAAAAAAAAAATTAGCTATATCGTGAAGAAGAATTTTGATTGGTTTTGATGGCATTTATCTTTTTCGATAACCACATCACATTAACAGATGAAATCGCTGCGACTAATACCAATCATTTTATCATATGACTATGAATTAAAGATAACAATAATTTTGATATCTAATGTTCATGAGCGGCGGTAACACTTATCATTAGGTGACCTGTCTGCTATGCCTGTGGTGACGGATTAAGAATACAGAGTGACACTACCCCAGTTCATCCTGTGGGTGTCGTAAGAACCGACTAAGGAACAAAATTACGCAGGAGAACAGCACTGCAAAGAGAAGAGAAAGTTGAAACAAACCCGTCTGGCCAGCGTGGTATAGTAGGCCAAAACCTCCTTTCTGAGGAGAGGCCTATTTCCAGCAGTGGACTATCAAAGGCTGTTGATGATGATGTTGACCTGTCTGCTCGAATCCCCCTATATCATTAAAAAAACATTTTATTACATATTACTAAATGTCACTTCAACTCTTAAAACTTCATATTCACTAGTAATACCCTGACAACCGACATTTTTATATCCGTTATTACTTTGGTGTGATATTACTTACGTAATATGTACGTAACAAATTGCAACACAATATCCAGCCATAAAGATTTTATATAAGTTTCAATGTGACATTACTCGTAATTGGTTTTGTATTGACAACAGCTACCGAGTAATTTATGAAAAGGTTATATACATGTTCATTATTTTTATAAACCACCCTTTAAAGATGAATAAAATAGAAAGAGATAATCTATGCAACTTTTGCAAAGAACGCAACGAAATAAAGCGATAGTTTTATAGAAATGAGTTTGACATTTATATTTTGCTATGTGATATACTCGTAATTATAAATTTAACGCAGATTAAACATATTCAATTCATTTTAAATATGAAAGCAAAACATAACATAAAAGTAAACCTACACAGTTATAATACGCGTGAGTGTTATTGTAGTAAACGAGGTGCGATTACTGTCTATGTGTTACAATACAAACGTGCAAAATACAATGAAATGAAAATGTTATTATTTTGTGGAAACAAAATCAATTTTATTTTGTAGATAGAAACTACGGATGCATTATAATATGTTATGGTCAAAGACCGAAGACACTCATTGAGCCCAAAAACAACTCACAACGTGTTGTGTTCGTTGAAAAACGTCCACATCGCGAAATTCGTGTTTTATTCATTTCTTCATAGACCAATACAAAAAAGGTGTTCTCTGGCGTAGAGCCACCCTAATAAATACCGATCAATTATATCTTAAAATGATGTACGTCAAACGTACTTAATTTACTTAGGGCCATTATCGCTGTACGTACACAAGGTACAAAATAATGAGCTTCGATTGTGGTTCTGTGTAGTGCGACTTAAAACACGTACTCAGATAAAAGATACTGTTTTTTTATGAAAACAGATGTACGAATCCTGTTTATTGCGTACGTGTTGTAAAATATCATTATTAAGATGTGGTGTTGATTAATTTCACTTTACTTTAATTGTCAGGGAAAACGCCTTGTTATTTTGTGTCAGCAATTTTTTTTAAATAATCTGCTTTTGAAGTTAATTAAAATCATAATTTAGAACAAAATATATTTATTGTAAGATATAACCTTCGTTGCTTAAGCGAAACTTCGTATTTTTAACTATTTATTTTCATCCAATAACAATTACAAACAACCTATTTGAACTGTGTACAATTACAATAAT